GGTGGTGGCGGTGGTGGCGGTGGTCGCGGAAATAGTAGTCGGTTGTCGCCGGGGTGGCGTGCATTCAAGCATCAACTTAAGCAGCAGTGGAGAATCTTCCCAAAATCGGGGGCCGTCGCTCGAAGAGTTGCCGTTGGGCATCTCCCCAACAAGCTTGCACGAAAGCGTCGCACCATCAGCCGTCTCGCATACTACATGTCCGGCTCGGCTGGTGACATGCACAAAGGGAATAGTTTTTCTGGACAACATCAGAATCTGCAGGCTCGGACCATGCGATTTTTCTGCACACCCATTTGCCACACAGCGTCGTGATCACAGTATCAGCAGGATTTCGATTTCGGCCGTCAGACATCGTAGATTACTCGGGAATCTCCACATAGAGTACCTTGCTGTCAGGACGCACTCCAGCAATCAGTTTCACGCGAACATGCCTGTTCCTCACATCGAACACGATGATAGTGCTGTTCCCGGCTGTCTCAATCTCGGAGTCTCTCAATCGTAAGGCTCTGACGTCTCAGCTCTTGATCTGTTTGCCGGGGCCCAGAGCTTGTCCTGATGGGCACTGGGACTGGCACAGACCCGACAAGCTTGCAGACCAGACTGAACGGCGGCTTAGACGTAGTTAGACTCAGAGCGTCTCTTCGAGTCAACTCGTGCCCCGCATTCCTCGCATGCCGAGCTGCCGAGGCCACGGGACCTGGCAGACACGTGCGCTTGCAAACGCTCACACGAAACTTCAGATTTCGCGGTCCCGCGATTTCTAGGCGGCCGGGGACGGCCGTGTTTAGAGTGGAACGCGCCGAAGGTTCAGGACAGGGCGAGGTCAAAGGCGAGTTCCGACAGCGCTTGCAGAGCCTTGCAGAGCCTCCCTCCACAGCGTCGCTGCTCCATCTCAAGCACCCTCAAAAGAAAAGCCCTCGAATGTGCTCCATTCCTGCGGCCTAAGAACAGATAGGTTTCCGATATGCAGAGTACTGGCCGAGAGCAACAACTCGCACACTGCACTTGCAAAAACGCCGAGCCGCAAAGAAGTCGCATGTCATGAGCTGAACTGCTTCTTGTCTTCGGAGCAACGACACTGTCAGTTCGGGTGACACATTGTTTGAAGGCCTGTTTCGACCCTGCGAGGACGAAATGCATGCATCGGTGACCACTTGCAGATTCAAGCAGCTACCACGAGCGCTTACAATACATCTGGCAACACCTGCAACCAAAGCTTACACCCTCCTCACTTCGAGTCGTGGCTCTTGAGGAAAGATTCCAAGTGCTGCTGCTGATGCCTGAGTGATTTGCAATAAAGCTTCTTCCACAGAAAGAACCAACCAAAAACGACTTCGCCCCGACTGTCAAGGCGAGGGGCTTGAGGAAGTCAATTTCTTCTTTCCGCTTGCGTTCATCTACCGCCCGACGTTCCGCTTCGCGGCGTTCAATGGCTTCGCACTTGTTCTTGAGTTCCACAACACGCGCCTGGTGTTTCAGAATCTGCAGCTTTTGGGATTCGCGGGAATGATGCGCTTCTCACAGGCCTCTCTCTGCTTCTTCTGCTCCTCATGCTCGGCAATCATCTGCTCTGTCTCTGCCTTGCCCTGCTCGGACTGCAGCTGCTTCCGTGTGCCGAAGGTTACACCTGCACCGATAGTGGACTTTGTCCTTACTCCTCCTTATGCATATACATGCTGCAAACTTTTCGTGACTCTGAGGTGCAGGCTGCTCTGGTACAATGTCTGATATGCCGCAATGGACATGCGAATCTCATCACGGACACGTAGCAACAATAATCCACGCTCGGGGCAGTTGATCGTGACCTGCGCATTTGTACGGTGAGTTTGGCAGGCAGCACCAGGACAGTTGACTGACGCCCACCTGACGAATAAGCTCGTCAAAACACTGTGAGTAGAGCTCTTCCCGAACAGGGCAAATCCCAGTCTCGCGAGCCTGCGGGTCAGACGGCGATCAGACAGTGAAATTCTGTACAAGGATGAGCGACATTGTGAAACAACAAAAAATGTGTGCAAGATATCCGAATCGCTTGGAACCAGATGCCTGCCGCTCCATCAGACGCTGGTCTAACGCCTCCTGTAGCTGGATGACATCCAGGCGTGTGGCCGGTTGGTTGCTGACCTTCAGATGCTAGTGCTAGAGGCCAATGCGGTGGTCATGCCATGCCAGGTGCTGACGTTGCCTTCCAACCACAACCACCCCTCGACCCCGTCCCCCTGGCTCGTGATAGTGCCAAGCTGCATACTGCTGATAATGCTTGCCGTCCTCAATCCACTCACCTAAACGCAGCCAGCGGAAGTGTCTCCAAGGATACACGCACACAAACCAGATTGACCGAGGCACGAGGCGGAAGGAGCGCATGCCTTTTCGCTCATGCTCTTGCAGCGCCCCCCGGCATGTACTTCGAAAACACGGACCGATGTACTTCTGTGAATGCAGGCAGGTGGCAGAACGTCGTCTGTGTTGGGCTTCGATTCTGCTGGTGGCAGTTGCGTCTTGCGTGCAAGCTGTGCCTTCGGCAGGGATAGGAAGCTGTCTTTCGCCGGAACATCGTTCAGCTTGTTTCATCCCCGAGCGCAGTGCGAGCCTTCAAAGAGTTCGGCTTGGGCGGCTTGTTGCCCTTGCGACCGACGGCATCCGAAGGTGCTGGGCCCAGCTCCAGAGGCGGATCATACTTCACCTGATCACTGGGATCTTTTCCCTGAACACAATGTGCCCACACCCACAGGCCACTGAGCCAAACACCAGAGATTCACGAGGTCTGCCGACTGGAATCGACATCGTGGCAGCCGCAATGTCCAAACATGTACAAATGTTCCTCAACGCGTTTGAGCCCGAGGCAAATATGTCATGCAAACCATTCAGCTGTCTTCACACAACAAATGCAGCCGTTGACAGCTACATGACACTCAGCTTTACCAATATTGTCTCAATATGTTTTAAGACTAGGGGCCACGGCGGCTCTTGCCTGACAACGGAAAACTCTGCTAGTGTAATGTCGGAGTTGGCACCTGTATCACAACTATCGTGGCATTCCAGACTCAAATCCCTGTGGCTTGTCAGTGTTCTGGGCTCAGGAGACTCGTGACTCGCGCCTCTGGAGTGTTCTTCACGCCCACAGCTACGCCAGACCTTGGCAAAGGAAGCGATGTCCATGCGCAAACATCTTCCATCTGCAACAAGCTCGACCGAAACTACGTTCTTGCTTCGTGCAGATGGGGCTCCGAGCGTACGTATGCAATGTGCGTATCATGCGGATCGGTTAGCAGAGTGCAAAGAGGCACGACACAACGCCTTTTAATACTGCAGCTCGGCCTTGACAGAAAAGTCAAACTTCCACGCCAGGCAATACAAGCTGCTGCTCTTGGCCGCCAGACCACAGGCAGCCAAAGCAGAGATGCAGTCAGGCAGCTCCACTTGCACATCTAGCTTATCTGGACCACGCAGAGGCACGTCACGGCCAAAATTCAAGGGCCCTTCACGAGGCTGTGTCGACCCGATGCAGGGGCGAAGTAACGCAGGTGATGCTGGTGGGGCTCTGCAGAGCGCAATCGAAAATTGTTCAATGCCCTCAGGCAGATCAGTTTCTCATGCTTCCTCTCTTCCTCAAGCAGGGTAACCGGAAGCCTCAGCAAGAGCACAGGGTAGCAACTCAACAGTCCCACAGTGCTGGCGACGAGCTGGCACCCTTAGATCGAAACCTTCGGCTTTCCATCCTATGGGCAAGTCGCAGACTGCAATGTCAGCTCAATAGCAAGTTCGCGCTGAGGAATCAGCCTCGTCGACAGTTGTTGTGATGCTGAGCTCGGCCAACCTTGCTAGGGACTCGCTGCAGTGATTGGTGCATGCACGGGCGCGCGTTCCTGGGTCGAAAGCTGAGCGGATGTGATTGCAGCAGGCGTGTTGATCATGGTGTCTCTGCCTTGCAAAGCGATTCGAGAGAGAGGCAGCAGTAAAGGCGCACTCTACGTACTCTGAGACATGCTCCCATGTTGTTCTTCGGGAATGCAATGAAGTCACGGATCGTCGCCTAGAGAAAAGCGACAGTTGCACAGTTCTACCTCGCTTCAGAAGCTGCCTTTCCACCAATGATGGTGCAAAGTCTGTCGAGTCCGAACGCAAGACCAGCATGAGGTGGAGCTCCTACCGTGCAAAAGGCATCAACTCCAGTTCTAGGAGCGATGGCCAGCGGCTCCATACTCAAAAGCGCCCATCAAGAAGCCGAACTGCGCCAATGCCTGGAACCGTCTCTACGGCCCTGTAAAATGGTGGCCGGTGCCACATTGACATGGCCAGAATTTGCTGAAGCCTCCTCCTTGCTGAAGCCAAGCACACTGAAGACCTTCTCCTGCAAAGGCCGCTCCTTGGCTTTCAATGCTTTGAAAGAGAGCCCCGAGAAGGCGCAAGAAAGTGCGCATGTTCTTGCCGGTCCAGGCCGCGTGAATCCGGACGGACCCACCACCCACCTGGCCATTTCCAGGACATTCCAGAGCGCCCGATGGAGTCTGCAGGAGTGTTACATCAGCCTCAACGCCGTTGATCACCATGTCATAAGCGTTGGCCCTCACCTTCTGCACTGATATTCAGAAGAGGCTTACACGGGGGAGGGGACTTTGGGGACAAAGGCCTCTGCCAGTTTTGGATCCTTGTGGTCAAGGCCTCAGCAAGGCTGCCCCTGCAGGTCCCCGGATTGCGCAGTGAGCTTGGGACCACACTGACCATTTTTTC